TAAAATTATTGTGCACTGATTTTTCTAGAATAACTTTTGCTGCCGAATTATCCACTAACCTAGTTTATGATACATATTTGTCATAGATTATATATATACATAGGCCTATATTTTTTCAGATTTATTGTTTATTTTATTTTTCTTTATAATGAAGTAGTCTGTATCTAGTAGATTGTAAAAGAATGATTATAATTTCTACACACAGAGAGATATAAATTCTACATTTATTTAAATGAGGGAAAAAATCTTCACTGGTATCGACCAATACCAAACCCTAGGTATCGGAATCGGTATCGGAGGCGAAAAAGGCGGATCGGAGCCTCCCTAGTATGGACATGTTGAGGTGACCCTTTTACTTCTACTGTGCTGTCTTGGCATAAGCCCTCACACCACATTAATTATGAATGGTGCCCCATGTGGCTCACGGTAGATTGCCGCACCCGCTCCCCTTATTGTCAGTTCACCATCTACACTGACATCGGCATATTAACGTGATGTGCATCATCGATTTGAACCATTGGGATTCAAAGATGCAGAGTTCTGACTGCCTTTGCAGTCCATCTCCTTCAAAGACACGCAAGTTGTAATAGACAGATATAATGGCTAGTAAAACTTGCTGGTCAATGTTTTGGAAGTGTATATATGTAATAAATTCAGCACATAAGATTCTGCCTTAACCTGGAAGTAGGAAAGTCTGATAAAAGCCTGATTGTGCATTTAATGATTTCTCTGCAAGTTTGGTGCATGGCCTTGAATAAACCTTCCAGTTTGAACCACTGAATCTAATTTAGTAATGTTTGTGAAACGAGTATAAAGGCTATCATTCGCATACGTTGTATAGTTATTCTCTGCAAGTTAGGGCATGGCCTTGAATAAACCTTCCAGTTTGAACCACTGAATCTAATTTAGTAACGTTTGTGAAACGAGTATAAAGGCTATCATTCGCAAACGCTGTGTTTGTGGAGAGTTGGTTGCTCACATGCACATTTGTCTGTTTCTCTGTAGTTGCGCAACAATGGCTCCTGGTGTTGCATTGTAGCCTGCTCTTAAGTCTGACAGGAAATATTGCTTAAAAGGTGCAGGTGGATATTAGAGAATGTATCTGGTTTTACCATCTGCTCACTGAATCTTTCATTTCTTGGGCTCTTCTAAGGGGCTGGTTCTGAGGGGTGAGGCCGCAGGACCAGACTCAATGAGTTTCCAGCGAAATGTCCGAGAAGTCAGGGCAGAGCACCAAGGCAAAGGATGGCAAGACCAAGTATGCAACCCTTAGCCTCTTCAACACGTACAAGGGCAAGTCTCTGGAGACCCAGAAAACTGCAGGTGAGTCAACTGACCATTCTTACAAACAAGCTGGTGATAATTACTAGGGCTGTGTATTGCCAACAAAGTCACGATACGATACGTATCCCGATACAGAGGCCATGATATGATACGTATCGCAATACGGGACTGCACTAATTTTCACCTCAGCAGAATTTAGTGAAACAGCTGTTTATTAAAGGTCCCATGACATGCTGCTTTTTGGATGCTTTTATATAGGCCTAAGTGGTCCCTAGTACTGTATCTGAAGTCTCTTTCCCGAAATTCAGCCTTGGTGCAGAATTTCAGCCACTACGAGCCAGTCCCACAATGAGCTTTCCTTAGGACGTGCCATTTCTGTGTCTGTAGCTTTAAATGCTAATGAGGAGGAGAGAGGTGGGGCAAGGTGCTTCGCTTGTTTGCAAGCCATGATGTCTCTCGAGGAAAAAAAAATATTGCGCTCGCCTCGCGCGGTAGTAGCTCATTTTCTCATGGGCAGGCCAAATTCTCTGGGCGGGCAAAGCAGAGAAAGGGGAGGTAACCTTTCCCCGTATGACGACAAAGGGAAGCTTCCAGATTGGGCCATCTGAGCTTTCATTTTCTCAAAGGTGAAGCAGGATACCCAGGGCTCGGTTTACACCTATCGCCATTTCTAGCCACTGGGGGACCATAGGCAGGCTAGGGGAACTCATATTAATGTTAAAAAACCTCATAAAGTGAAATTTTCATGCCATGGGACCTTTAAACACTGCATACTATAGGGCCATTGCTAACTATAGGCAGAGCAGGCAGTAGACCTCTGCATTATAACCGGCCTCCATAACTGTACCACAGTATAACAATATAGGTAATGGCATATGTTTCATGTTTACATTGGGCACTCCCCACCAGGTACAATATTATGCTTGTTTGCATCTTGTTTTTAAGCCCATAAATAATCATGTACTTGTTCTAATATATATTGTAATGTACTCATTCTATTACATTAATAAAATCACCTTATATTGCTGGTAGGTTATCATTGCACAACAAACTCTACATTTAAAACAAAAAATAAAAACAAAAATTAGAAGCATTCTTAACTAATGCGCTGTCTTCACTGTAGCTCATGTACACACATTCAGTCCCTCAAACAGATCACACTGCGTGCGCGCACAGACATTCAGCAACACAGAAACTTTAGCGCTGCCCTGCAATTTCATCAATAAGAGCTTCACCGCTGAAGAGCTACTTTATCTTTCTCGGCAAAGATTTGGTTACATAATTTCTGAAGCAATTAAAGCCACCACTTCACTGTTAAGGCTGATTTATACTTCTGCGTCTGACCTACGCCGTAGCCTCTATGCCGTAAGCTACACGTCGGTTTTCATTTATACTTCTGCAATTACACATGCAGACCGCTAGTATGCAGTGTCCACGGGCATGTTGATGGTGTAACCCAAAGTATCAAGGCAAAAGCCGAAGAAGAAGCAGCTTGTCGGAGAAGCATCAGCTGTGATGGTGGCATATAAATATCCAAGAACAGATAATTTATTTAAAACTACAAAAGGAGACAACAACGGAACAGGAGAAGATGGCACTCTTTCAATCTCCACAAGGACGTGTACCATGGCAGAACAACATTGTTTGTCGCAGACTAGGGCTTGGCATATCTCGGTATTTTCATTTTTGTATTTAAAAAAAATCTCTCTCTCTCTCTCTATATATATATATATATATATATACATACACACACACAGTGGGGACGGAAAG